CTGGCCATCTTTGTCTGTCTGGTGTCTAAGCTTGGCACTGCTCTATGAAAGGAAGGGCTGTGTGGCCAGAGGAGAGGGAGAGGATGATGCAGTCCTCACACCCGCCTAGGGGCATCTGTAGGGCAGAAGACCCAGTGCTGCTTAGGGCTGGCTGCAAGGAGATCTGGAGACATCAGAGCTTCCCTCTGAAGTCCTGACGAGCTGCTAGAGAGGGACAAGAGACACTGGCCAGGAGCCTGGCCTACAGCTGAGGTGCTGCAGAAGGGCTCCCGCTGGATCTGGTGCAGCGCGGGGGTGGCTGGAGGGTCTCTGAATCTCCTCCCGCTCAGATGTGGAGAGCAGCGCCCCGTGAGTCACTGCCTGCTCCTGTGCTGACTGATGACGCGTCTTCCGTGTGCTGGGCCTCCGTGTGCTGGGCCACCGCTGCCTGAGCGGCGACGCATAGGAGGACAGGGCGGCTGCTGCTGCTGCCAGTTCCAGGCTTCATCACTGGGCTTAGGGGGCCAGAGGAGGTCAGGCTAACCCCAGTTAAAGGGGGATGGTGTGCCACTGGGTCCCCTCAAACTCCTCTTGGCTCACTTATCTATTACGCATCCCCTTCACGCTAGGCCAACCTCCAGGGTACCACGCTGTGTGACCTTGGGAAGTGTCTCCCCTTCTCTGACCTCAGTTTCCCCAGCTGGACCATGAGGAGGTGGCCTTTAAGGTCTGCTTCAGACCTGAGATGCTGTGTCGATCATTGACTCTTCCTAAGGAGGGAAACAGATAGAGATGGGTGGGCAGGGGGTCAGAGAGGGCCTGACCAGCCCTGAAGGTCAGGGTCACCCTGGGGCACCCGAAGGCTCTGAGCTATCTTCCTTTGCCAGAAGCAGAGCAGCAGAAGCCCAGGATGCACAGACTTGGGAACCAGACTGCTTGGGCTCACTTCCCTGGTCCGCCATGAATATGCAGTGTGACCTTGGGGGAGTCGCTGAGTCTCCCTTGGTCGCCTCCTCTATAGAATGAGGAGGGTGCTAGGAACCACTTAAGAGGCTTCAGGAGGTTGGAGGAGTTATTGCACACTTATTACTTGGAAGACAGCCTGGCACAGACTGAGTGTTTGATAGATATTAGCCATTGGCCAATAACGGTTGGTTTAGTAGGCTGTTGGGGGTGGAGAGCCGCCAGGGTGCGCAAAGCCTGCCCAGGAAGCCATGAGTCAACAGTACTGATAATACAGAGAGCCCCCGCTGGGGGCCAGGCTCTGGTACCCTCTGCAGTTTTTGTAAATAGTTGAGGGCCTTGAAGTAATACCCAGGAGACAGGTACTACGGTTACTCCCATTTTACAGAGGTTACAATGGAGGCACGGAAGGCTCAAGCCGCTTCCCTAAGATCCTGAGGCTAAAAACTCTAGCAAAAAGGATTCCTTTGTCTGCCCCGTTAAATGTCCCGAGGCAGAGTTTGTCCTCAAGGCCCACTGCCCTGCAGAGCCTAGACCCAAGAGCAAGGTCATGGGACGTGGGTAAACAAATCATCCTGAGACATTTTAAGTGGTTGGGTCCAGGAACCTGATGACCATCCTCAGAGCTGTGGTGGCTTGGCCGTTATGGAGTGGGTCACCTGAGGAAGAGGCAGTGGAGATGGGGTGGAGGAGGAGCAGCTGATAGGGTGGCAGACTGGGGGCCTCAGAAGACTGTCCTTGAGCAGCGGAGCCACACAAGTGCCTGGAAGAACACTGGTTTGGGGACAGGACAGGTGACCTAAGTTTGCAAATTCTAGGCTCTGCCAATCAAGTCCAGTGCAAGGTGTCTGCAGGGACAGAAGCGCCTGGAGGGACTGAGGGTATTAGCATCCTGGGGAGGCTATAGAAAGGGATCTGAGGTCCCCAGAGGTGTGTGGTTGGGAAATCAAGGCCCTAGAGCCCCAGGTCCTCTCTCCCTGTCTTTGCTGGGGAGTGCCTGCCCAGTTGCACAGGGGATGGGCTGTGGCAGGGATGCAGGAGAGTGCAGCATCGGCGTCAAGAACTCTGGGTCTGGTTCCAGAGGAGGTGCTGTGCGGAGAGCCCCCAGCTCCCTTACCCCGTGCCCCTGGACTGAGACGTCTCTCTGCTGGATCCTGTGGTGGCTTGAGCAGCCTCATGGTGATGCAGATTGCCGGGAAGGGAAGGGCTGGGCTCGACCCTCTTCTCAGTCCACTGAAGCTGTGGTGGAAGAGCTGCTTGCAGAGCAGGGCGCGCACCCTGCAAGCCCGGGCCTTCCCATACTTGTGTGCACGTGCTCGTGTGTGCCTGCGCTCGTGCCCGTGCCTGCACCCAGGTCTGCATTCATGAGTATCTCGAAGCCTTGATGTGTCTGGATGACTACAGATGGAGCACGAGCATCAACATACGTGTCCTGTTTGATAGATGTGTCTGAATGTCCCAGTCTCGGCTGCTGCTTCTGCACGTGACTTGGTTCTAAGAGTGTGAGTCTGTCACAATGAAGGAGTGTGTGTGTGTGTGTGTGTGTGTGGCATTGTCTGCTTGGTCCTCAGGGGGACCAGGAGTTCTGTTTCCCTGTTTTTGACCTGTTCCACCCTGTGTATCCCATCTTGGGAGTTTGTACTGAGACTTTCAAGTGGGAGCCCTGGGGATCCGTGTCTCTTTTGTCTCTGTGAGGTTGACATGTCTTTATTGTCATCTCCGTGGACCTGTTTCTGTGTATTTGTGCGTGTGCGCACAGTGTGTGAATCAGAAAGAGAATTTCGGAGATCAACCAGCCCTCACCTGCCCCTGCTGCCGTAGGCCTCCTGCTGGAACCCTTCAAGCCACAGCTCTGTGGGCACACTTCTGGCCTCTACTAAAGGTTAAGACAAACCCTTAGAGTTCTAATTCTGCACGATGCCACCTGGGAACACAGAACAGGACTGACCCCGGAGAGGCTCTGATTTCTCTCACGGAGGTGTCCTTTGAAGCTCTGCAGGTGACTCCAGTGGGCAGCCCAGGTTGCACACGGACTGGGCTGAGCAGTCACGGCTTGGGGAGGAGGCATGGGCCACCATGTGGGGGCAGCTCTGTCCTATAGTGGGCTGTGCTTGTGCCGGCTCGGGCGGTCCCTGAGGACAAGGAGCTCTGTTTTTCTGTTTTTGACCTGAGGTTGTCCAAGGTCCAGGGCAGTCACCCCCTGATCTCAGAGGCTTCTGCCTTGCAGTAACTTCTCTCCCCGCTCTGCTGTCCGGGAGAGATGGCCTCCAGCCTCTGCTGAGGATCACTAGGACCAGGCACTGCTCTATCCCAGCAGGAAGGACAGGAGGCCATCTCTTTTTAAGCAGAATCTTGTACTTTCCAGGGCAGATGGAGGTGACTGAGTCCTTTGGGAACCCCCCAGGGCCATGTCAGAGGCAGCCTGTAGCCACCAAGGGTGTGTAGGAAGCTGGGAGAGGGTACAGGAGGTGGAAGCCTGGGTGTCTGGTGTAGCCAGTCCTTGATGTCTGCAAGTGCTGGGGCCAGTGCTTTCCATCCTCCCTGACCCGCAGTCAGCACTGGACTTCTCAGGGTGTCTCTTGAGGTACCTAAGGCTTGTCTCAGCATCTCTGAGTGAGCCCTGGGCTGGGGATGACATGGGGGCCCCTTTTGTTGAGCCTTCCTGCAGCAGCTTCTATTTCTCCTTTGGGTGCTTGCTCATCACCAGCTTGAGCTTGGAGAAGCTGTAGGGGAGGCCAGAAGAGATGGACAGAGACATGGTTAGGTCGAGAGCTGGGCACAGGGGACCAGGGGTGACAGCAGCTGTGCACACTGGGCATGCACTTGCAAGGCCTAGTGGTTGCGATGCAGGGGCAGCGCTTGCTCCAGCCCCTTTTGTCCCAAACCAGACACGTGCCAGGTAGCGGTGCCCCTAATTTGAGCCTACTCAACCTTTTCTATAGCAATTTAATAATAATGGTAATGATGATTTTAAGCTGAGTGTATGGTATTGTGTGGCCCTGCAGAGCCTGTTTAGCAGTGCATGCTGGGTGGCTGCTGCTCTGTCCCCCCCCCCTTTTTTTTGTCGCAGATGCTATTTTAAATGATGCCGTAGTAAATAGCCTTGCTTATCCTTCTTTTGGTTCAACTGCAAAAATTTCCCAGATGTGGAGTTGCTGGGTTGCAGGGTATATGTATTCGTCATCAGTTTCAGAAGCAGAATATCCTCTGTTGGGAGTGAGCTGGATCCCTGCAGCTCCTCAGTTGACTCCGTGTAACCTCTCTGGTCCCTGCCAGGGTCCCAGTCTTTGCATGTTTGTCTTCTTGGGGGGTCCGGGTAGCTCTGAGGCTTGAGCACACCCTTTAGTAGTCACTGTGCTTTCTGTGTCACTTGTTTCTTGAGGACAAAGTGGGGTGAGGCAAGGCAAAAGGAAGGTATATTCTATAAGGTGCCAGCCTAAGTGGCTGGAACAAATGGGTCCTTAAGAGAGAGTAAATTAGGTAGAAGTTTATTTCCCTTGCAGCGCAGTCTGGGGCGAGGTAGGCCATCCAGGCTGCTTAGCTGCACTCAGTGGTCCTGGCTCCTCTCAGAGCATTGCTCTCCCCGCCCACAGCTGGCATCCTTGTCTACACTCGGGAAGGGCAAGAAAATAGGAGAGGAGAGCATGCCAAGCCCTTGTGTATGGGATGCTGCCCACGAGGCTCTCCTGCTGCCAGCCGCATTCCTTAGATGCCAGCTTGATCCCATGCTCAGGAGCGGGGGAGACAGGGAAGTGTCACCTTTGGGTGGGCAGGCCCGTGCTAGGCAAAGCTGTCCATCTGTTGTGGAGCAAGGGGAGCATGCCAAGGTCGGGGAGACAACTGGTCTCCAACGGTCTGGCCATTCCAGACCGACCGTTCCAGTAGACTGTCGGGGCTGAGCCAGCCTGCAACCCACTCTATCCTCAATATCTAGAGGATGTAGACCCTGGGCCTCTCCTGTTTGTAGGAGTCGAAAGAATAGGATGGACGGCTGCAGGCCTGGAGGGAGTTTGCATGGGAGGCTGGGGACCATGCTGCAGGTGGGTGGGGGAACAACCCAGGACTCACGCCTTTTCTTCCTCCCTAGCCTGTGGACCTCTGGGGGCTGAGCAGCGGCTGCTGGCGTGGGAGGCCAGCAGTGCCGGCTGAGGAGCACCATGGCCAGTGTCCTGCAGGTCCCCCTGGCTGCACTCCTCCTGCTGCCTGTGGTAAGGCCCGGGACCCTCCCCTCCATGAATCTGCAGCTCAGGCTCACCTGAGTCTTTCCCCAGAGAACCTATGACTTTTCTGTGTCCTCATCCAAGCCGAGATACTTGACTGGTATCTCTGCCAACACCCTACTGGACCATCTAGCACCTTTGTGTGAATTAGAAGAATGCCCTTCCTTAGGATCCTGGACTGATTAGCCCAAATAAATTTGAAATTTCAAATTTATTACAATAGTGGTCATGTATGGTCACCTTTGGAGTTGTGTAGTACACAGCCTGCTCAGCCGTATGCAGGCATCCTGGTTAGGGCTGCAGAAGGGTCTTTTGATCTTCTCCAGCTTAGGAGGCCTGGCCAGATTTGAATCCAGGAGGCTGCTCTCTGCTCATGTCTTTTCTGAGCAAGGATAAGGAGAGAAAGTGGGAAAAGGAGGCTTCCCAAGTACTGGCCCCTCCATTTGACCTGGACCAGCAGAGGTCCAGGTCTTTGTTCTGCTTCCCTGTGTGACTACAGACAAGCGCATCCCTCTCTGGGGGAGCTGCCTGCATATCTGTGAGCATTTGGGATTGGAAATGTCCCTGAACATGGCCCTTGGCAGCTCCGATGTCTGCTGACTGCTTCTCCACGCATTGACAGTCCCCTGGGAAACCATCCTGCCTGGGGGTTGAGTTAAAGTGACAGCGTGCAGAGGCAGCTGTCATGATAGCATGCATGGCTGTGAAGTTACTTGATCCCGAGCTAGAATCCAAATCTGCCAGCAACCACTGCCTGACCTTGGGCTGCGCTTCCTTAACTCCTCTGAGCCTCACTTTTCCCTCTCAGTCAAGGAAGAGTGGTGGCCTGCAGCCGCTGCTCCTCCACCTGCAGCAGCTAGAGGGCGCCACTTCCTCACCAGCCCCGAGAAAAGAGACCCTGAGCTCGCCCCCACCCCTTGCTTGCCCCTGAAGTGGTTAGATCCTTGTGGTCTCTGGAGCCAGAACATCTGGGTTCAGATCCCGACTCCACGGTCTACTAAGCCATGTGACACTGAGCAAGTAACTTCATATCTCTTTACTTGTTTTCACATATGGACAATGATAAAAAATAATACCTACTTCCTAATACTTCTAAGATATCTGCATACAAATATGTGTGTCTGTGTGCGCATGTGTGCACACACACAACGCTCAGAATAAAGCATGTACTAAGTAAAGTGCTACATATGGGATTGCTAAAATTATTATAAGATGTGGAAACTGAGACCCAGGAGGGGAGTGGGATCTGTCCAAGGCCAGGCATTGAGTTGGTGACTGAGAAGAGCCCTCGTGGCCCTCATGACTAAGAGGATGTCCCCCTGCTGCCCTGAGGTCTTTCTGCCA